AGATGAATGGGATCTTCTAAAAATTAAATTTTTATGTGCTTCCAAAGACTTCTCCAAAAGAGTCAAAAGAGAACCTACAGATTGGGAAAGAATATTTGGCAATGACATATCTGACAAGGGACTTATCTCTAGAATTTATAGAAAACTCCATAACAAAAGACAAATAATCCAATTAAAAAATGGACAGAAGACATGAATAGACAGTTCACTAAGGATATTCAGGTGGTCAAAAAACATGAAGAAATGCTCACGATCATTAGCCATTAGAGAGATGCAAATCAAAACAACGAGATACCATCTTGCCCCAGCACTATCAGCAAAGTTCAAGAGAGAAAATAACAAATGCTGGCGAGGATGCGGAGAGATTGGGACTCTCATACACTGCTGGTGAGACTGTAAATGGTACAACCACTGTGGAAAGCAGTATGGCAATTCCTTAAAAAGTTGGAATTAGAAATACCATTTGATCCAGCCTTTCCCTTACTAGGTATATATCCTAAAGAAGTGAGAGCCATGACAAGAACAGACATATGCACACCCATGTTCATTGCAGCACTATTTACAATAGCAAAAGATGGAAACAACCTAGGTATCCATCAACTGAGGAATGGATGACCAAACTGTGGTACATACACACAATGGAATACTATGCATCTCTAAAGAATAATGTAGAGTCTGCAAAACACCGCATAACGTGGATGAACTTGGAGGACATTATGCCGAGTGAAATAAGTCAATCACAGAAGGACAAATATTGTATTAGTCTGTTATTGTAAAAAGCCAAGGAATAGTTTATCTATGGAAGGAAATTTGCTCTGTTGGTTACCAGGGGTGGGAGGGGGAGGGAATACTGTTAGATAGGTAGAGATAAGTATTGATTTGGGTGAAGAGAAGGACAATGTACCAAATGTGAGTGATCAACATGGTGGCACTGAGGAAGAGGAAGACACTGAGAGGTACACAGGAGGTACAGACAACAAAGATGAACCCTTTTGCACATACACCACTACGTTGTTTTAAGCTGTAGGAGATCCTGGATAGAGAGGGAGAACAATGTGGAACAAAACTTAAAGATTCATGGAAACAATTAGTCCTCGCGACTGGCACACCATGTGATCTGCAGCCTATACGACTATGAGACCAGAAGAACTAGATGGTGCCCGGCTACTACTGTCAACCACTTGGAGGGGGATCTATGCAGGAGATCCTGGATAGAGAGGGAGAACAATGTGGAACAAAACTCAAAATCATTTGGAGGGGAAAGAAAACAGGGAGGGCAGGTTTGCTGGTATGATAGAGCCTGGTAGAACCAGAGTCTATGGTCCCTAGCTGCCCTTCAGGTCTAGAACTGAACCCACACCTGTGGCTTCCAGCCAACGAAAAGGCAGGCATAAGAGCTAAACATATACCTGAAGTAGATACATTCCTTGTAGAACACAACCATGGGAGGAAGAAGGGCTGTTTATGCACAGGGAGACAGTTCAGGGGCAGGAGTGCATGGAGGGATGGACACAGGGAAGAGGTAACTATCCAGAGAAGTGGGAGGGGAGCTGTTACATTGGGGTAAACTGCAGTCAATGTCATGAGACAAAGAGTATGTGAACTGCTATATAGAAAATGAATTTGCTCTGTAAACTTTCACCCAAATCACAATTGAAAAAAAAAAAAAAAAAAGACCTTACTGGACAGAGTAGAACTGCCCCTTAGGGTTTCCAAGGTATAAATCTTTATGGAAGCGGACTTCCTCATCTTTCTCCTGCAGAGCAGTTGGTAGGTTTGAACTGCCAACTATTTGGTTATGAGCTGAATGCTTTATCACCAGAACTCCTTTGAAACAAGTAAGCCACTGGAGAATTCCAATTTTTCTCTCAAGTAATACACAGTGATATCATTTTTTAAAAGTTGAAGAGTAACTTCTCTCAATTTACTAAGCTTCTTATACCTCTCAAAAGCCTTATTTAAATCTTAATATTTATTTAAAATGCATACTCTTGATGGATAGATAGGTGACAAAATAAACACAGTAAATGTGAAGAATAACTGAGGCTAGTCTACTGCCCTTAAGTCAATTCCAACCCACAGCAACCCTCATTGGGTTTCCAAGGCTGTAAATCTTTATGGAAGTAGATCCTCCTACAGGGCAGCTGGTAGATCTAAACCACTGACCTTCTGGTTAGTAGCCAAATACCTTACTCACTATGCCAACTGAGGCTATTATATTATTCCTTTTTTAAAAAGCCAAATCTACCAACAAATGTGCTATGATCAGATTTCATAATGAGCCCTTTCAAAAATACTGCATATTCATGGTTTCATGGGGCATTCCAGTTAACTGGCTTAATAACATCTTTAGTGCTTCTGTTCTATCTCCTAGTTTTCTGAGTAGAGCTTGGGGTCTTAAAAGCTTGCAATGGGACATCCAAGGAATGAAAATTGGTCTCTACTTACCTGGAACAACAGAGGAAGGAGTGTCGGGAATAGAAGGAAGAAATGGATGTATGGCTAACTGTCTCCATGAACAACTGCCTCCTTTGCCATGACACCAGAAGAAATGGATGGTGCTCAGCTACCATTACTGAACATTATGATCAAAGATACTATAGAAGAATCCCGACCAAAAGAGTTCTAATTCTCATGGACTCCAGGCTTCCTGGAGTCACTGAGGATGGATGGACCCCTGAAACTATCACTTCCTGAGATAATCTTTAAACTGTAAACCAAAAATATCTCCTGAAGTCTTCTTAAAACCAAACAATAGTTTAGCTTAACTAGTAAAAAATGTCTGCATGAACATTGTGCTCCTTTAAGAACTCTCTCTATAAGGGATCAAATTGACAGTAGTAACTTGAAAGGTTAGGTAAGAATTTTAGTAGGCAGTGAGCATATGTTAATGGAGGAGGAGTAACTCAGAAAAGAAGGATGAGAATGACTGCAAAACTTAGAAGTTATCAATGTCACTGAATTGTACATGTAGAAATGGCTGAATCAGGATTTGTTTTGCTGTGCATATTCTAAACAACAACAAAATAAAAAAATTTTTAAATACTACACATAAAGTTCATTTACAAAAGGAGCAAAATATAAAATTTTATAAACATTTATATATATTTTACTTCCAAAACAATAACAAGAAAGCAAAACAGCAATAACATCATTTCCATGCTGCATGTTGACTTTTAAAGTCTGCCATTTTGTTACTTTACCTTCAAGTTCTTCCAGATATGAAAGAGTGCCTTGTATCTTGGGCTGAATGTAAGACAACTTAAACTTGGGCACCACAAATGGTACTTCTTTGCCATCAGATGGCAATTTAGAAAGTAAATAATCCTCAGTACAGCCAACCTGAGGCTTCACAGAAACAGAAGTCAATGGAGATACACAGATGGTGGTATTCTGGCCAGTTGAAACTGCTGCTTTAAAGTCTTTTTCCACGGAAACTACATATAAAGGAAGAAAATGAAAAGAGTGACAGATATGCGTGTGGATTTACATATAACAAACCAAACCCAAAATGTGTTTTGGTATGTATTTAATCATTTTAGAAGAAATTCCTGATACATAAACCACTCTTGGATCCTATCATGCACTTCTGGCATCCGCACTTATCCTGTCCAGCTATTATCCCAGCAATTAATACGTTACTGCCAAAGTAATTTGAGGTTATCAAAATGCTAAAAGCAGTTTTTAGAGTCTCATTCCCAGAAAAGAGTTCATAGATGGAAAACAAGCTTATTTTGTAGTTAATTTCAAAAATGCTTTCAAGTAAACTCTAGTCATTTAAAAATACTGTCAACAAAGTAATTCATGTTGTCAGTACTACTGTTTAACATCAGTCTTGAACACTTTAATAAAGTAATTCTTAAGCTAAAGGTCTCCAAGTCTACAAAAATCCTCACCAGATCATAAAATACATGCTGGCCCCAGATAAACATCCTAAGAGCAACTCTCTTTGTCCAAGCTTCTGTGACCCGTTTTATCACTCTCACATATGATATGCAGTTTCTAAGCTGCTGGACTTAAGATAGGAGATACAGGACACCCAGAGTTAATCTTTATGCATATTTAGTATCATCTATAAACCAAAACAAACCCACTGCCATTGAGTCGATATAAGTACTTAAATACTGATAAAACTACAACCATTACTGTGTATGATTTTATGAAATGCTTTAATGTGAAAAAAGAAGAAAAAGGTTTCATACACAAATATACTAAGAAGCACTGCTCTAGACTTAGAAATACAAGAAGGAGCCAAAGGTAAACAGAATCCCAGTCAACCCTGAAAAAGATGAGGAAATCATGTAATAGGGAAATTTCCAGAAGTCATTGATAAATGTGGGTCTTAATAAAGTTATGGGTCTTTTCTTTCGTTGGTCATTCATTTATGAAGGGCAATTTTTTTAAATTATGCTTTTGGTGCAAATTTATAAAGCAAACTTGTTTTACATTCAACAGTCCATGCACATCTGATTTCATGCCCCCAATTACCATCCCTAACCATAAAAAACTCTTCTCTCCTTTCCTCCCTAGGACCACCCCCTCCCTGTGCCCTTCTTATCTATGCATCCCTATCTGTCCAGCTTTCTCTTTAAGTGAGTGCTACCCCACTGGTGTCTCATGGCTGACTGATCCAAAGGGTGCACATCCCTAGAGTAGGTGGGTGCATCGACCTGGGGTAGGTGTTCTCTATGTAGGTCTTTCTACTTCTGGGCTGAGAGGCAATCCATGTAACTGAGTCCATTTACGAGGGCAATTTTAAATGCACTGCCTATAAACTAAAAAATGTCTTTATTTAAATTGAACCACAGTATGCTGTCCCCCAAACACACCCAACACTTCTCTCCTCTCCCTGCCTTTGCCAGTACTATTTTCTCTACTTAGAATGCCCATGTCCAACTCTTAGCTTCTCTTACTTCCTTTCTCCCCCTCACCTTCCTAAAATCTGTTCAGATTTCCTAGCCAAATTCTGTTTTCTTTGTGGCCAATATCTCAAGGGTCTCCTGGACTGGATGTCTGTCTCTTCCCTATACTCCAGGGTGTCTGAAGTATTGGAATACTTACCTAGCAAGCCTTGTATTTTGTGTATGCCTCCCCCAGAGATTACAAATCCCTTGAAATTAGGAAATACACCTAGTATATTAAAAACAAATACCACAAAGATGGCATTGAATAAACGTTTCTTGACGTGAAAGCAAAACAGAACAACTCACAGTTGTGCTTTTCTGTTTCACCATAGAAACATCCTCTACAGCAACTCTTTATAAATTCTGTTGCCATTACATCAATTTCCAAAATCCAGCAAAAGATACAAACTTCCAGCTTTAATAGTTATCTGTTGATAGGAAGAAAGAAAATTAAAAATGATTATGCTTAATGCCAGTAGATGCCACAAAAGAAATCATAGTATCTGTCTTTCTAAAACATAGTGAGGCCCTGAAGCAAAAAGGTTTAAAGATAAAGTATTCTCATTTTTGGTCCCATGTCATTCTGTAGCATGTAAGCTTCTTACAAGTTATCAAAATTACATGCTTTAAAAAA